ACCATACATTAACGTTTAACTACAGGCCATGCGCAGTAACGTTTAACTACAGGCCATCCGCAGTGACGTTTAACTGCATGCCATCCGCAGTAACGTTTAACTACAGGCCATCCGCAGTAACGTTTAACTACAGGCCATGCGCAGTGACGTTTAACTTCAGGCCATGCGCAGTAACGTTTAATTATATACCATACATTAACGTTTAACTACAGGCCATGCGCAGTAACGTTTAACTACAGGCCATGCGCAGAGACGTTTAACTACAGGCCATGCGCAGTGACGTTTAACTAGAGGCCATCCGCCGTAAAGTTTAACTACAGGCCATGCGCACAGACGTTTAACTACAGGCCATGCGCAGTGACGTTGAACTAGAGGCCATCCGCAGTGACGTTTAACTGCATGCCATCCGCAGTAACGTTTAACTACAGGCCATCCACAGTAACGTTCAACTACAGGCCATGCGCAGTGACGTTTAACTAGAGGCCATCCGCAGTGACGTTTAACTGCAGGCCATCCGCAGTAACGTTTAACTACAGGCCATCCGCAGTAACGTTTAACTTCAGGCCATCCAGAGTAACGTTTAACTACAGGCCATCTGCAGTAACGTTTAACTACATGCCATGCGCAGTGACGTTTAACTACAGACCATCCGCAGTAACGTTTAAATACAGGCCATCTGCAGTAACATCCACTTACAAACCATCCGCAGTGACGTTTAACTACAGGCCATCCGCAGTAACGTTTAACTACAGACCATCTGCAGTAACGTTTAACTACAGACCATCCGCAGTAACGTTTAAATACAGGCCATCTGCAGTAACATCCACTTACAAACCATCCGCAGTAACGTTTAACTACAGACCATCTGCAGTAACGTTTAACTACAGGCCATGCACAGTGACGTTTAACTGCAGGCCATCTGCAGTAACGTTTAACGTCAGGTCATCCACAGTAACGTTTAACTACAGGCCATCCGCAGTAACATTCACTTACAAACCATCCGCAGTAACGTTTAACTACAGGCCATCCGCAGTAACGTTTAACTACAGGACATGCGCAGTGACGTTTAACTACAGACCATCTGCAGTAACGTTTAACTACAGGCCATGCGCAGTGACGTATAACTACAGACCATCTGTAGTTACGTTTAACTACAGGCCATCTGTAGTTACGTTTAACTACAGGCTATCCGCCGTAACATTTACTTACAAACCATCCGCAGTAACGTTTAACTACAGGCCATCCACAGAAACGTTTAACTAAAGACCATCCGCAGTTACGTTTAACTACAGACCATGCGCAGTCGTAATTTGTCGCTGAAGTATAACGTGACAATGAGCGATTTTGTATAACAGGCGAATTTTAGATTTACCCAAAGTATCCTACCCTTACCTTAACAGCGGCTATGGAAAATCGGAATCAATCATTGTTTTGCCTGTTTCTAGATGTACCTGCTGCATTTTTAAGCAAACTTCTTGGCTTGCCTCTTTCATGTCTGTATCCTCCGTCATGAAAGACTCCAGATCGCTTCGCATAGTTTCGTCATGTTAGTTTTCGTTCTCCTACACACGTATGCACTGAGATATACATACATGTACGAGCGTCAATGTATGAGTTTTTGCACGGGGAGCAGAATAACATTTTGAAAGTTTGGTACAGTTATCAAATATTCTGGCAGAATTTTTTGGAAAGTGTAATCTAGGGGAAGTGTAAGTTTTTTGGCACATGTTGCATTGTTTTTCCTATCTAAAATCTATGATATCGTAACAGTGATTTTTAACATTATAGTTGCTTTAAGTTCTCATAACTTGTTTAAGGGGAGATCATTTGGCTGAGGACGCGAAATGATACATTTGTAAATAATAATAAAACCACACCGCCTACGGCAGCATGTACATAAAAGTGTAAAGATTTTCGCTCAATGGTTGGTCGTTCACGATGGGAAATAGGTTCCGGTGCCTACCCCTAATATTACCGAACTGGTATACGAGACACTCATTCTCGGAAATAAGATGTTGCACGTTTTAACGGGACACTCATTCTCGGCAGTGCGATGTTAGCACCTTAAATCGGGACAATCATTCTCGGCAGTGAGGTCTTAGCACGGTATAACGGGACACTCATTCTCGGCAGTGAGGTGTTAGCACGGTATAACGGGACACTCATTCTCGGCAGTGAGGTGTTAGCACGGTATAACGGGACACGCATTCTCGGCAGTGAGGTGTTATAGCACGGTTAAACGGGACACTCATTCTCGACATTGATGTGTTAGCACGTTATAACGAGCCATTCATTCTCGGCAGTGCGATTTCAGCACGGTATAACGGGACACTCATTAGCGGCAGTGCTATGTTAGCACGTTATAACGGAACACTCATTCTCTGCAGTGTGATGTTAGCACGGTATTACGGAACATTCATTCTCTGCAGTGCGATGTTAGCACGGTATTACGGAACACTCATTCTCGGCAGTGAGATTTCAGCACGTTATAACGGACCACTCATTCTCGGCAGTGCGATGTTAGCATGTATAACGGGACAGTTAATTTCAACAGTAATGTAATACCATTTTACAACTGAAAGTATAGATATAGATCGTAAAATAGATTATATAACTCCACAGCAGTAAATATCGGTCCATTACCGTTATGTCACAGCATGGTATGTCATTGTTTACCTATCTATTACTCTGAGTACGTCTAGATCTAGAGAGGACACCCCTCGAACACTCCATTATCGCCTTTTGTTATTACACATGAAAGGTCACAAGTGTTATGTTCTCCAATATATCATCAATGAATCAGAAACGAGTTAATTATATTTACTTCAAACACTAGTTATAATTGACAGTCGTTGTTATGGTGTTGGTATATTTAAGAGATGTGCTTATCATTGTTCCGGAATAAATGTCCCCGTTTCTAGTTAGGCCGATAGCTCGATATTAATCATAATTACCGGTAGACTGGTAGTCTAGGTTCGTGCTCGTGTTGCTAGTTAAACAGTCGTGTAATCACGACATGGTACCTACTTTAGCTGCTATTCAGGGATTCAATAACGCCATGATCCTCGTGCTTCAATTTAAAAAAAATCTAAGACTTTATATGCCTACGGTGAAATGTTCTATTAGGTGAAAATACAGTATCATCATTAGAAAAAATATTTCAATTATCTTCTGGACTTAAAAAAGCATACTTCTTGCGACGCATTTTAGTTCGATATTTGATTATTTAGATGCAAAAATGAAATTGAACAAATGAAAAAAACATAAATTCCAGTGGTCAAATTTGAAACTTTCCAACAGCCAACCAAACAGTATAAAAATGGAAGATGGATAGCTCGCAAAGGGAAGAAACTAAACTCATAGAAACCTTTCGTGTAGAATCGCAACGCTCACCTACAGTACTCTTAAATAAAGGTCCCCGTTCCTCATTAGTTCGATAGCTTGATATTATTCTTTATTTAGAAATACTGAACAAATTGGAACTCTTTTTTCGTCGGAGATACAACAAAAAGCGCTGGACTCTGTACCTTAATACTCTCAAATAAAAATAGAAAATGATGAACTGGTGTCCTTCAATTTTATACCTAAGTCTTTTTAATGATGTATGTGACGGTACTTCATCAATTGTCTGTTAAGAATGATAATAACTGAAAACTGACGGACGCAGTACTAAGGTGAAAGTTAAGTCCATGGTAGGCCTTAGTGTATTGGGCCTCACATACCCTACCGTAACACGAAAACCCTAACACGGAGATATATAACACATTACATGATCGAACATAACGAGACACGCCGCTTGAGGTCACAACAATGCCTGCATAAATCATTTAGATTTACCGGTTTTGTTAGCTTACCACAACGTTTATTTCAAAATGTCCAGATAAATAACGCCCAATATCTGACTATTTAGTAAAACAGTTTTTGTTTTAAAAAGCTAACTATCCTTTCCTGATTTTCAAAATTAGTTTTTAAAAAACCCGGACCAACTTTTCTTCTGGAGTACTTTTTGAGTTGATGTGTTACACCCTCTCAACGTCCTAGTGACGTAGAGGCGGAGAGAGGCCTCGCAGGACCAGACAAGTCCAAGGCTAACCATGATAAATCATATTTTCTGTTTACCAAATCACCAGGAAGAAAAATATAATAGTATACGTTATGTGACGATAAAGCTAACATTGTAAATAAGAACTGCCTACCCGTGTTCGTATCTTGCTGTCTGGGTTGTCTCCCTTGACGTGATGACAGGTGGGGGACAGGTAAGTCTGCCAGGTATATATAAGATAGACGAACGTGATAAAACAAGCTAAGATTCGACCATAATCATCTGCGTATCATTCAATTACTCAACCAGGTGTGTTACCGTTAACCCCAGAAGAACAAAGGCGTACACGCGTTATTGTACACTTGAGTGTGCACTCCAGAGACACCCAGGTGTAGTACATCTAATTGTTTAGTTCATTTTAAATGTTGATCTACTCCTCTGTAATTTACACGTACAATGCTTGTCCCAAAATTACATGTCACCCCGGGACAGGACCAGAGACTAGGGGAGGCGGCGGTACAAATGAGGAAAAAAAGAGGAAATAAGCATGCTTTATAAAGAAAGTGACAGGCGGAGGGCCTAGCTCTTTACACATAGACCCTCCAACCACCCAATGCCCAATCCCCCCCCCCCCCCCCCCCCCCCCTCCTTACGCCTATCTTAACCACATTTTCTAATTGGCGATGAACTAACTTCATGTTTCAACAGTACAAAGCTAACCAATATTCTGTACAGTTAAAGGGCAGATAATCTCATTGTTCGCAGTTAAAATCACTGAGAGTGTTGACCTCTATAAACTCACTACGAATGTCCGGTGTCCGGACAGTTGTTTGCCAGCGACGTCGTCTTTTTTCCGTTGTGTGTCTGGTAAGATGTACCTTCGACAATCACACTATATAAAAAATATACACCTTAGCTGTCAAGTTAAAGTGAATTAATAATCAATACATATATTTACCTGTTCCACTGCTGAAAACGTAGGATTCGTTACTGTTTGTCCAATCTGTAATGTTATTTCACTGGTCAAACACGTCACTTTCTGATGTCCTGAAGTTCTACAAAAACGTGGTCAAAACCACGTACTGTTCCACGAAAAATCTCCGCCTCCGGTGGTCACTCCGGAAAAATCAACAGCTCGCGCCTGACGGTTGGATCATGTATTGTATATATATATATATATACAAGAACACGTATTATACTCTCACCGATCTGTTACCTAAATATGGGTGTTTTAAATGTAAACAAGCGTCGACAACATTCTCTACAATATATATATTTAAATGTAGAGTTTGTTGTGTAGTTCTACCTGTACGGTGGATAGACTTGTAATACACCTGGCGTAAAACCTGATCGAATACAACCTATCCTCTTATAAAAAAACCTGACCATGCTAACGTGTGCTAGGTATAGGATTAAGTGGCATTTCTGTTAGCGTCGATAGACAAGCTAGACTGATATATTTACAACCTGTCATTATATCAACCTTACATACCGACTTTAAAATCCATTCCCTCTGTGTAATAATCAATAATCAATCTATAAAATATATTGATATACAATTCTATACCAATGGCAATCCTCTAACAGCTGTTAGCGTAAATATGTTTTTTTTTGTTTAAGTTTTTGAAGTGTTACAGGGGAATGTACTTTTAATTACTCTATTTCTGCGTAAATAAGGCGTCTAGTTCGTGGACTGTGCCTGCATGTAGATTTTATTCGCGAATGGTCGATTTCGTAATTTAGAGAATGCTATTACAGTATTATCAATAATTATGAATGGGAATATATATTCGAGGAAGATTTTGAACGCGATAATGTAGTTTTCTACAGTATTTCTTTCGGAAAATGAAACGTTAATAAATACGAGTCCGTTAATTGTGACTTTTCCTGTCTTATAACTTTGCGACTGTTGGTGGTTTTTTATGAATATGAAACATATATATATATAAATCAATTGCAATGTAGCATGAACTACCAACATAAATTTCGGTCGGTATGGATTTTCTTTATACATCGTCTTTTGGAGTACAATTAAACGAACAAAGATACCTGTTTTACGTACCAAAGCAGTAACGCTCGACTTTAACCATTACGATCATGACCTCCACCACTTTCCATGATTATTTGCGTCACATCCTGCTTATTTTCAGCTTTGATATTTAAAACAAATAGATATACCGATATCATTCTTGCCGAACTATTATGGGCCAACAGTCCTCATTGGCGTTAATTTCTTTACTGGCATTTGTTGGAGTTGTGCTATTTTGGATAAAACTTGCAAACGATTAATTTGCTGAATCTAGAATTTCGTTTTTTTTCATGCTAAGAGTTGGATATGATTTATGTGCGCAATTTTGCATTGATATAGCGTATACGATAATATTTAATCTACAAATAGCTTCTCAGTTTTGAGTATCGTAGAATATATTTAAGCATTGAAATGTTTTTGTATGGTATTGATGATCTATTTGAATGACACAAAGCTGTGTCATTCAAATGGATCATATATACCATTACAAAAACAGTTCAATACTTGTATTCACATTTTCTCTGCCTTTTATGTTCTCTTTCAACTTGCAATTTGATATCTAAAATTTAAAATTCCCGCCTTATCGACAGTTCACACAAATTCGTTCAATAGTTGGAACAGCGTGTTGTCGCGTGCTGATTGGCAAACAAAGTAGTACTTTGAAATTTTAACAAACACTTCAATTTTATTCCACAATTCAGTATCAATACAATTGCGTATGGTATGTCTATAGGGTGATTTAAGTTTATCAATAGAACTCTGAGCTGAAAGTAAGATTTGAAATTGTTTCGATTTTTTCCCCGGAACAAATTTAGCGCATGGATAAATACAGTGTACACCGTAATCCGACCTTGCCCTCCACGAGGGAGTTATTTTTTGGAAGTTGAATAAAGTTCGAACTTGTGAAGAATCCATGCGTGAATTTATTTGTTGGTTATATGGGAACCTGACTACAGTCGGTAGATTCTACAACAGCCTCGTTATTTGACATGTCGTCAGAAGCTGAGGATTGCGACAGAGCACAGGAGTTCGTTACAAATGTCTGAAATACACATGTTTATGTGTGCTGTGACTCATATCAGTAGATCCATAACATATCTATATTTCAGACATTTGTAACGAACCCCTGTGGATCAGTGCAGTGTAACAGACGATATTTCTGATAAATTGCATGAGTGTTAAAATTGTTTCCATTGCCGGCATTGGTTACTTCAACCGATGTGCATTTTGTACGATATTGCAGACGCTGGTCTTGTTATTGTTGTAATAAAAGTGTTTTTTTTAACATTTTCTTTTACACAATTACAATTACATTGTCATGTTTCATGATGCCCAGCGATATTTTAGCAGCCGTCATATGTTTGTTTACAATGGATATTGTAGTTTCGGTCGGTGTTGTATTAATACGCTAATAGTTATGTCTCGTGGTGCATGGTATTTAAAGTCCCATCAACGACACAGCTTTCAAATAGCCTATATAGTGAAAATGCCATGCAAATGTAAATATATGTATATAAACAATATGGGCCTAAGTGCAGCTCCTTGTTTTATAACAAACGATTCTACAAATTACTTGTGTACATTAAGCATAAGAGAGTATATGTAAATGTTCCATAAATAAAAATAAAAATATTGACCATAGATATTCTATAAATGAAAATTACAGGGTTTGGACTATGTTCCAACAAGTAAAAACAAAATTGGCGAGTGCAGAATATATCTTACAGACACCGCGCCTTATCGCTGATCCCACAAAAACTTACATAATCATACTCTGATTTCTATACAAATAACATGTTTTAGAAACACCTTGTATCGATTTCGATTCTATTTATTTTGAATTCAGATGTCACCATCTTATTCCCAACCATCTTGTCTCTTTACTATATATAGCCAAAAGATCATGTGATTATGTTCGGAAACTTTCAGCAACAACAAAAATGACAAGGGGTGTAAACCAACGTCAGAAACCCGCTTCGGATTATTTTACTTTCAACACGATGGGTACAAAACGTTTGTCAGCAAACATGACTATCTGCTGAATTCGAGATGATCAAAAGTTAGCAGCAACGTCAGTGAACGCGAAACGGGACACTTGTAGAGAAGTGGCCAAAGAAATTGACAAAAAATGTAAATTTCCAATGAGTTTGTTTAATGTAAGTATTTTTAACTTAATGATAATGTTACATGTATGTCTGAAGGAGACGAACATTCCCCCCTCCACTGCGCCATATGAAGAGTTCCTTGAAGTCCTATTTCTTTATCAGTATGTAGATAACTTATCTTGCACAATCAGGCCTATACTATTAGGATTTGTCGAGTAGATCTTTCTTATAAGAATGAGTATGACCTTTTCACTTTTTTATATCACCAGGGAAAGTACATGTATTGAAAGAAAGAAAATATGAAAGGTTCGTTTATAAAATTTGCAAACACTGTACTGAAGGGTTCCTTGCATGATTCTAAAATTGCATTTTTGACCAGAATTTTGTTACTGTATATCTTTCAACTGGAGTGAAAGGAAAAAAATCCAGATATCCATTATTTTTTTTATATCAATCTACACTTGTATATCCAGGTCATAGATCATTATCTAGCTCTCTAACAGGTATCCACAGCATTTGCAAAACATTCATGAAGATTTTACAAACACTTTCCTGATCAGATGTAACTTTGACATTTGTGTCACTAGCTGGGGATATTTTGACAGAAATGGTTTGATTCATAGCCGACTCCTTGTCGTTGTGTCCCAAATACACATTTCTCTAAATACTCATTCATTGGTATTTTTTCAGTGTATTCAACAAGTTCCCCTGTTTCCTGTATATCTTGAAGTGCAGATTGTACTCTAAGTATTCTGATACCCGTTTATGTATAGAAGCTTGTTTGAGTTATCTCCCCTCATATAACATACACAAGTGTGGTATAGTCGACTGTTTGAACAGAACAATTATGAAACAGGAAATTAACTGTAAGAAACTTGACACGGCCCTGTCCAGTATTACCACATTCACTGTTCAGTATAACAAGGGTTTTTGTTTATATGTCTGTAACTATCGGTGCCATTGGTATGTTTGAATGTGTCGGATCTCCAAACAATCTGAGGAACTCTTCTTGCTGGCGTGTTTTTCCCCAGATGTAGCTGACTTGATGATGAGCTTATCAGGACTAGTAATATATCTGGTTGAACGAGACTCGTATCCTGGAAAATAGTGCATCGAGTGTGTGTAAGTGTTGAGCAGTAGTCATGTTTTGTTCATGATCTAAAAGATATGTTTTTATGTATATATTTCTTTCTATATTGCATTTCTTTGTCTATCTGTGTCTTGGGAGGTATAAACTTAAGTTTTAAGGTTTCAACTGATAAAACATGAGTGCTGTCACTGTGCTATCGGCGAACTGTCAGGGCTTGGGTAATAAAATCAAAAGGAAAGACATGTTCTCATATTTACTGTCTTCAGGACACCAATTTTACACATGATCAGGAAAATTTCATAAGAAATGAATGGTGATATCATTGTTATTTTAGTTCTTTTAAATCAAATTCACGTGGTGTGGCTATTCTTTTAAATAATAATTTCGAGGGGAAAGTGCATAAAGGGACCGCAGAACCAAATGATTTTCCATAGACGATATAGTGTTAACGTTTACCACTGTCCTGGTTAAATGGGGTTATCCACACTGGTTCACCTGCCCTCGTTTTGGAGAATGTCATCTCACACACCTGTAAAAAAGAAGTTTAAAATACTACCTATTGGAACTTTTTTTTTATATGGGTGTAGCGGGGTGGTTTTACAAATAACCAAGAGTTCTTTGAGATTCATGTTTATTCCATTTCCACAGCACAGATATAACATGGTTCAATATCCTAGTGTATAGGTAGATACATATACATTAGTATAATGAACCATGTTATATCTGTGCTGTGGAAATGGAATAAACATAAATCTCAAAGAACTCTTGGTTATTTGTAAAACCACCCCGCTACATTGGAGTCTCCAGTGAGAAAATCAGCGCAGATACTGTTTGTACCAGAGCCTGTGCCTTTAACATGCGCATAACGTGACCACGTATGTGTGCTTCCGGTTGTGACCGACCCGGTCAAGGTCGCTTGTTTCAAGCGCTCCTGTGATGGAGATATATTTCTTCAGTGTGTTTGTGTTCGCTAATTCCAATCATTTTACGGATACTGACTTTCCCAAGATGGCGCCGCCCATGTTTCAAAAAAAGATTTGTCTGTGGATTTTATAAATGTAATATTCTCGGCAGAAAAGACCAGGTATTTATGAACTGACTGTACCATTATCTTCCAGGGATATTCCGGAATTAAAGACATTGACTTTCATAAAACAACAACATT